TGCGGTTCGGTATAGAAATTCGTATAGATCCTCGATCTTTGGAAATTCATCCCGCTTAAGTGTTTCCTCCCATTTTTCCGCTGTATTTTTTGGTAACTTGCTCTCTAATATATTGACGATTACTTCGGAGCCTACGTCGACTCCCAACGAGGCTAGGGGCGCGACATGTTGTTGCGCGTCATCGGCGAGCTTCGATAAGCTTTTGGTTGTTTCCTTTTCTAAAACGGGGAAATTTATGAGCAGTGAAAGATGACGCGAAATCAGAATGCGTTTTACCTCGTATGCGCGTTTCAATAATTCCCACGTTTTGCTATAATTTGCGCCTTCAATCGTTAAGATTTTTATTTTGTTGGCTGCTTCGCCCGTCAAAGCCGTTTGTAGATATTGTAATTTTTCTACATCCGATATATCCCCTCGAGAATCTATCATCGCGATGAAGACGTTTTTAAATGAGAGCCAATTTTCATACCGGCAAAATCAATCATCAATCAAATTTTTCATCAAAATTAGGTAAAGATACTTCAGGTAGCTTTATTTTTCGTTTCACGACGACCGCGGCATTCGCTTCGACGGAGAGAGAAGTGCCGCTCGCGAGAGAAGGACCGGCATTCGCGACTGATTCTGCGGAACTCGTTAATTCTTCGATTCTGCCTGCAAGCGAATAGAACCGTTCTTGGACATTTGCGAATTCGTCCTTATGACCGTCGCTCGGATCTAACAACTCTAAGATCGTCCTGAAACTCTTCGTACACGTAGTAAAGTTCGATGACACGCGCCATGCGCAATTTTAACGCGGCTTTATCGTACCGACTTTGTTGTTCTTTTTTTAGCACATTCGTTAAACTCGTAATTTGCGCTTTTAGAGATGTTCGTTTTTGAACAAGTACTTTAACTCTTTTCATTGTGTATTTTAAATGGTTATAATTAGGATAGGGAACCCAGACAGCACACGGATATCCTATGGACATCCATAAGATGTCCTTGAAGGACATTGAGAATATCCACAAGCTATCTGTTTTGTACTTCAGCGGGAAACAATTAAATTCACACACACTGTATTTTCGCGTAAGCGTTTATTGAAATGTTTATTTAAGTTTGAAACTTCTTGCAAGCGATCGTTGTCGCGTCGTGCTCGCACTGCACGGACGGCGCGTCAAGTATTTTAAATCGGCTTGTTGACCGTGTCGATCGCGGTACGTAGCAACGCGTCGAAAAGTCGTTTGAGCCGGTCTGTAGACCGTATCGATCGCGGATCGCAGCAACGCCTGGGGGACAATGCCCTGAGCTGGACCGCGAAATTTCAGACAACGCCTGGGGGCTGTAGCCCTGAGTCTCTTGTCACGGATCCGCGACAACGCCGTGGGGCTGTAGCCCTGAGTCGCAGATGGCTCGACCACGCACTGTGCACAACTCGAACTTGGCTCGAAAGAGATATTTCTTTGCAGAAAACTTTGTCGACTGATCGCTTCCGTGGCTATCGATCGAATGGTGAAAATCACCCTTTCTTCACTCGCGATCGTTGTTCGCCCCACCAACCGGGGTTGATTCTTATTGGCGCGGTAACTTCACAGGATTTCCTGTTTTTAAGACCGCTGTCCTTTGGACCGCCGCCGCTATCGCTAAATGTTTTGACCGATGCCGCGCGGAGATCTCAAAGATACCGCATGGAAATCTCATTCAATGCCGCGCACACGTGTGCAAGGGTGGCCGAGCTGTCCGTGTTTGCACGTTCGAACGTGTGTTACTCGCATGTATGTATCGCATGTATTTTTGTGTTACGCATGTCGTGCACGACCCTCGGTCTCGTCGTTACACTATCCGTTTTAGGTCCTTCGGACATCCACTGGACGTCCATGGGATATCTATTTATGAAATTGGTGGACGTCCACGGGATATCTGTTTATGAAATTGGTGGACATACTAAGAATATCTGACGTGTCCATAGGATATA